TCCGATGCGAGTGATTAATGAACACTACGCTTAGACATCACTGTGAATTGAATTCTCTGAAATTCTTGGAACCACTCACGCACAGAAGAACCTTGCCGAATCAAGGTTTCTTAGTAAAAAGCGGAAACAAAGCTGTTCATTTTCAGGGTGGCAGGCCATCTTGTGAAGTCCAGCATCCAATCACCTGCCATTTCTTCAAGGTTTCAAATGTTGAACGTCAATTAGTGCTGTGTGATGCGGAAAAAAAACGACTGTGCGCCAGGAAGATGACTATTCGTCTCTATCTCAGAAAGGAAGAGCGTTGAGGTAGGCAAACTCAGCTCGTTGATTACAAAAAGTGGTCGCGATTACTGAACTTGAGTAGCTCTATTTCTTGAGAAACCCATTTAGGCAGGTACTAATTTAAAAAAGTATTTAACACATCCTGCGTTTTCGAAATACATCCAGAGTATTACACTACTAACACACCGGCACCTCGTTCAGCAGAACCTTTCGGAAATGTGGAGTTCACTTAGCAACAAGCGCCGAGAAATGAGACTGCAGACATGTCCCTTTTTCCAAATTCAAGAGTAAGAACCTATCCGAACTCAACAGATCCGTCTATAACAGGCATGGTCAGGGAAAACAACCAACCTTAAATTCATTCGGAACTCCAGCAATGATGTCAACCAACTTTGGCTGAGAACTCAAACCGTACTTTTGAGCGATCTGAAACTGGAGTACTATATACAGAACGCTTCAACATCTTTATACATCTATCTAACAAAAGATAGGGTATACTATCAAGCAATACGCGTACCTCGCCTGTTCATTCTGCACGGTCAAACTACCAGTGAAAAATTCAGCAAGAGAGGCATAAGAAACAAAATTTATAGAAGGTACTAACCACGCATTTGAGCCGATTCAAGTTCACATCTTTGTGTTCACGATGTGCTTCCACGAGATGAGCGACTATCTCGTTCACAGTCAATGCCATAGCCTCGCGCTGAGAGCGTTGAGCATTAGAGACGGTCATCTCCCCTGCATGAAGAAAAGTCCTGAGCTTCTCAGCAGCCCAAAATTAGTAGCCATAGGAACTGGTTACTGAACGAAATTAGAGCGCACCAAACGATTATTGGATGTTATCTTAACAACTCCAAGAAAGAAATTCTCCTATAGGAGAAAAAGTTCTAAGCGTTGGACACAAAATCCTTGACAACCCACAACTGAAGAGATCATCGGAGACTGAAGAAATATGTATTGGCTATGTTGAAACCCGAAACTGTTTTGAAGAAAGGTCCAGTTCCAAAAGGTTGCGGGAGTTAAAGTGAATAGTCTGCGCAAGTGCGTATTACGGCAGTTACTATGACATCACGCCTAAATTTACTGTAGGATTGTATCCGGTGCTCGCCCTGCAATCCAGGGCACATCGTTGTTGGGGAATCCCCATAGGGGGGGGGTCGTATTTGGCCGCCAGGAGAGGGGGTCGTATTTGGGCTGGGAAAAATTTATTTTGATAGTTGATTTTTCTCGCTTCACGGACGTTGTAAAGGGGGAGGGGGTCGTACTTGGTCATTGTTGGGAGGGGGGGGTCGTATTTACGTTTTGGCGTTGTAGGAGTGGTGGTTGACTTTTGGTGATGTTTCACGTACTATATGCCCCCCCCCGCTCGACGGCTCGATTCGATGAGGAGGAACAGAGGGCCGTAGGGAGGGGGGGGGGTCGTACAGACTCGACTAAAATCCCCAACCAATGATGTGCCCTGGTCTGCGCTCAGAACCTCAGTTTTGGTCAGGGGAAGGGACGCGAAGGCGCTCCTGCGTGGCCCAGCTCTACGTCGCCTCGCTATGAACTCATATAAACGACACTTATAAATACTGCTGGTTTCCAGAAGTCAGGTGGTTGCTCGCTAAACTATTAAAGGAGTGTACACGATCGCGGTAGGACCACTCATTGCAGGCAATCAATACCTATTCATTTAGCTA